GGATCAGTAGATAGCGAGATATTCTTAAATTACTATAATTATTTAAATTTAAGAGCGTAAACTTTTGTAATATTACGTTTTTAGTGTAATATTTCAAAATTTTACACCACCTTCAAAATATTACACTAAATTATGCCTAAACAAATTTCCTGATGTCATTAACAGCATCATTTATTAATGAAATATTTCGTGAAAATTCAGCAATATAAACATCATTTTCATACTCTTGTAAGGCTTCCATCACAGAAAATAAAAAAAATTACAATTAAATAAATAAAAAACCACAAAATAAATAATTAACGAAAAAAACTAAAATTCTGAAGCGCTGAGATCTCCCAATTCCCTCTGTCATCAATTTACAGAGTTGCCACATCGAACGGGCATTCTCATGGTCGAACGAACTAATAATCGAACGAACGAACAAATAAACGAACAAACAAATAATCAACAGCATAATTATCAAACAACATAATCAACGAACAACATACAACAACATTCTTGGTTCTTAACATAAATAGCGTTAGTAATATAAAACATTAAGCGATATAAAATAAAATTTAACTTCTCTAAATTTTCCCCAAATTATATCCACTTTTACCTTTAATTTCAAACTTCGATAGCTCTCGCTACGAATTATTACTTTTCAAAAACGTATATTTAATTCATCTTTAATTAACATTAAACTTTATCAACAAATAATTAAATGAAACTTATATTTTTATTGAGTTCTGTGAATGAGAACTGTGGAATTACCTTGAATTCCGCTCTCTATTTATACAAATTTTATGCTACTTTCTATTCTATCTATATACTATCTTTTATGTTCTTTTTACATATTATCTTTGAACTATCTTTCTAATATGCTATCTATATTTTAAATACGCTATCTTTTAATATGCTATCTTTTTATATATGTTCTTTTTTAATATGTTATCTTTTATGTTCCATCTTTATACTATCTTTTTATATTATCTTTTATATTATTTTATGTTCTTTAATCTTTCTGACATTATTTTATATGTTCTTTTAATTCGCTTTATGTGTTTTGCTTATAATCTATCTTTTGTGGCTTATAACTATTCTTTCTAATTGTTCTTATTGTTAAAGATTGCTAAGCTGCAATTGATCGACTCTAATTATTCTATTGGTTCTTTGTCAATCATTCGACAAATATTACATCATGTAGATCATTACTCTTCCTAAATGTTTATCCTTTTCGGCTAATTATTTATCCATTTACGTCAATTCATAGTTAATTTGTTCGTTCTTAATATTTGGCAATTACATTTGGTGGTTGAATTTTATCATCTTTTCATGCTTGATATTCGACCGTTTACAGCGCCAACTTGCATGTTTATTTGCGTATTTGTGACTTAATTTTTAATGATCAGAAAAATAAATACTATAATTTCTATGGCCAGAATGTAGATCAATAAATCTGCAAAATTATATGATGATCTGGCCAAAATTAAAGAATTAATTTAGTGTTGATCATTCTAATTTAGAAATTGCGGGCAAATTTGCTCGTAAAGCAGTTTAAGGGATAAAATTTTACAAGATAACAAGAATCTCAAGTTATATATAGAGGTAAGGTGCAGCCAAAAAAAATTACTGCATATTAGCTGCATTTTTTTAGGGCCGGAATTATGATAATGCCAGTCAGCATCTAAAAAAGGAAATAAATTTCTTACTCTACCTTTTTATGTATAGCTTGGGATTCTAGATAACAAGACTATAAAATTTCTATCTATTTGGGTGGACAAGCAGGATATTTTTTTAGTACTACCTCATCTAAAAAATACATAGTACAGCTCGAGCACCCTAGTCGCATCAAATCCTAAATAAAGCGGCCAAATTCCCTTATGCAATTTTCACGTGAATATCATGTGATCTTTGGCCTGAATTATACCAATAAACGTAATTTTAGCCAGCATTAAAATTTAGAAATTTATTGTGCTATATGCAAATTTTATTGAAAAAATTATTTAAAACACTAAATATTGTGAAACAATGTATTTGGTATTATTCTATGTCTTTTATAACGTTTAACTGCATATTCTGCTTGTTTTTCATCCAATTCTTTTCAATATACATCCATATACCCATATGACTTTCTTGCAAATGCTTTAATTTGAGATAATGGAACTAATTGGTACAACTAGTTGTAAACCAGTTCAAGAATAGTCACAATTTTTATGAGAATATTTTTACGTTTTTTTTCTGCAAGTTTCTTTATGTGTTTTTTTCTCTTTTATACGCCAGCTATCAAACTTTATTTCAAATTTCAGTGTGAATTTTTACATTAAAAAGCATTGAAATTTAAATTTTATATCAAAAATGTGATGGCCAAATTCGGAATATTTTATATATGAACATATAAATTTTTTGCTAAAATAAAATGCACATAACTTTTTATATATTAATCCAATTAGAAAAACTAAATCATACTTTTGTAGCCTTTGATCTAATCTATTAAAATATGAAGAGTATTTTAAAAAATATTTAATTTTTCGAACTTTATGCCATTTAAAAATAGGCTTTAAAACTTGATGTGACTAGGGTGCTCGAGCTGTACTCTAAATTTAATTTTTTTATCTTGAACTTAATGGTTTTAATGGTTTTCAATCTGAATTATCTATAAAAGAAAAGATTTGTACGATTATTTCGGTTTATGTATAGGCACTAGGCAGTGTAGCTCGAGATCCTAATATAAATTCAAGTATAAAGTATCTGGCAAAAATTATTTTTAACCTTTTACTCTAACCTGATTTTTATGTGACCTAATACTAATATTAAAAGTTTCAAGACTTTACGATATTTAAAGAATTTAAACTATTACCAATATTATATCCAAAAATAAACAATTTTATTATTGTAGCAAAGAAAAAAAGAAAGAAATGAGAATGGAATATATCTATTCAATTCTATTATTGATATTTAATATATAATAAAAAATACTAATCATAATATATGATAGTTAATAAAGATTAGATTATTGCAACAAAAAAATAAGTATATGTTTCTTAAAATTATTGAATTCGATACAACTCTTTTAAAGTTGATTGTTAATAACACGAATTTTAGACGATCTAAATCAATTGTAGATAAATCATAGTTATACACAACTGATAGTTTTAAACTTTAATCTATCATACTGGTGGCCAAACGGCTTGTAATACATCCGCCACAACGTCACCAGGACTTGGAAATTTGGGTGCAAGATTTTTTGCCCTTAGCAATGTTATTAATTTAGTCCCATACATAATGCTTTTATCATCTCCAGCATCTCTTAATATTAACCTGTGAGAAAATATTTTTTCGCTTGCAAAAAGAACTAACTCGGGAGTTGCATAATTGCGTTGAAAAACTGCGGCAAGTGCTCTAAATAAAAATTCAAAAGGTTTAATTTTTTATTGTATAATAAAAAATCAATGTAATTTAAAATCTTACTTGACAAGTATCACCAGATCAGATGATGCTCGAGCTGTTAAACCTCCTTTTACCAAACGATGTGTTCGTATTCCTACAACGACATCTCGCATATACCTATGCATATCATTATGAATGGTTACACTATCCATTTTCTTTGATAAATCTTCAATTTCCTAAATAATAAAAAAAATTATATATATTATAAAAATACATATTTAACGGTCATAAACATTCCTGAATTAAATATACCGAAGCTTTAATAAGCGGACTTCGCTTGATTGGAATTGTCGAAGATTTCCCAGCTCCTATTCCCTCATAAGTATAACTAATAAAAAATCTGTCAAGCTAAAACAAATTAAGAGAAATGGACTCAAATTTTAACAAATGTAAATAGGCTTCAGAAAAATACAATAAAAAAGTTACCAGTTGATTAGGTAAGTTATGTTTCATGGCGGTAATTGGCAATAAAACGATAATGATAAAAGGTTTCGATATATTATGAATAGTAGATTTGTCAATTACTTGTTTTCGTATCAAAATCTATTCAATTGAAAAAGAATGTAAGATATTAGCTAAAAATTTTTAAAAACAATCAATAAAAAATACCTCCAACAAAAATGCATAAATGATTTCGTTTGCGTCTGGTAAATTTTCAATAATCACAGCCTTTGCTAAAGACCGCGAACCCGAAAAATATGGTGAAGGTGGTTCAAAACTACCAGTACCTAAACTTTCGTGCTTTTTCTTTGATAAAGTGTAATCATTTGGCGTTATCGGAGATTGTGAAAGTGGATTGAAATGAGAATGATAGGCTGAATGTATATTCTTACGAGGCGACCCAGTATTTATACTAAGACTTGGGCGCGATGATGTCAAAGGCTTCTCAGGAATGTCAATTGGTTGAGCTGAAGTTGATAGATTTGTAATCTTCTTACGTGAATAAGAACTTGATGGGATAGAAACTGAAAAATTTGTCTCTCTTGGGCTATCAATTGTCCGTGACCTTTCTTTTGACTGATTCAGCAAAACAATTTATATAAGAAAATAAAGATAATGGTATCAAAAACAGAAAAGAAAATTAAAAATTCTCAACTTTCTGAAAACTAAATTCGTCATTTTCGTAAGGAAAAGATCTTGTGCTTTCGTAACTATTTCCATAAAGTGATTGTGGTTCATCAGCCATATTTGAATCAACGTAAGAATCTCTCTGATTCGATAATTGATTTGAGCTGTGTGACAAATTAGACCGACGTTTTGATCCTTTAAAATCATGTATAAGTTTTTTGTCATTTGATTTTGTAGAGCTGATTGTCTGTAAGGATCTAGTTGATTTTTGAGTTTTTAATCGAAGCATTGCTTCCTCTGTAACATTAGGGTAAGGATTTATATTATTTGATAAATTCAATATATGAGAATTATCTTCTCTCTGTCGACTAAAAAGATTAGTAGCAAAATCAGCCGGTGTTTGTGAAGCATCACAAATAACTGTAGAAGTAGTCATATTAAAAATGTGGTTGAATATCTAAAACAACATTGAGAATAAGTACGCGTTGGATTATTCAATTCGAAATTATAATACAATTGCAAAATATTATGTTATTACTTGCTCAGTCATAGATCTAAGTTCTTCAATATTTTCTTGTTTACATGTTAATATCAAGTGTTTATCACCGGACATGAGACAAACCAATATCGAAATTAACACGTCGTCGGAAAACTGAAAGGATGTATTTTTTTTAATATATTGTAGCTTTGACTTGAGCCAATTTTTTGTTGGCGAATCGGAAATCATGATAAAAATCTAACGGCAGTAAATCGAAAAGTGAAAGTGTAATCTGTAATATATTTTAGAGATAACGATCGAAATGCTTGGTTTAGTAAGTAGTACAGTTATTGGTTAGTCAACCAGCTTGTACGACGAATGCAATTACACAGTGACATTGACATTCTCATTTAAGTTTCAACTGAAAGAAGTGACATTTTTCGGGCGCCTAGTTGACAAGAATAAAAAGAAATCATGGGAAGACACGGTTTTCCAGTTCTTAACCAACAGTTTCTTGTTGACGAAAAATACGTATTTTTACGAGAATTAGGACAGGGTGCTTATGGCGTTGTGTGGTAAAGTTTTGGTTCTTTATATGATACTTTTTTGCGTTCTTTTCTTAGCTTTCTGTTTTCTTTATTCGCTAATTTCGTTTATTAGACAAAACAAACAATTATGAACTTAGACCTTTTCTTTTACGTTTATGAATTTGATTCACATATTATTAAAAAAAATTTTTTTTTCAGTGCTGCGCGTAACACACAAAATGGGGAAGGAGTAGCTATCAAAAAGGTCACAAACGTTTTTAGCAAAACTATTCTTACGAAACGCGCATTACGAGAAGTTAAATTGTTACAACATTTTAGAGGACACAAAAATGTAAGTTGTAATAATCAATTAATTATAAACAAGAAAAATTTACGAGATAAATATTTAAATAACGCGTTCTTTGCTTTTCCTACTTCATATATGCATGCGCTCTTCTTCAACTCTTGGCAGATCACGTGCCTTTTTGACATGGACATTGTCAATCCTCATGATTACAACGAAATGTAAAAAGTTTCCTTAATTAAATATTTATATTAATTTTAACTTGGACTAATTTTTTAATACAATATTGATTAGATATCTTTATGAAGAATTGATGGAAGCTGATCTTCATGCAATCATTCGTTCTGGTCAACCGCTTACGGACGCGCATTATCAGAGTTTCACATATCAAATATTAAATGGATTGAAATATATTCATTCAGCTAATGTATTGCATCGCGATTTGAAGCCTGGTTAGTACCAATCATAATTCTTTAAATCTTTCTGTTTTATAAGTGTAAATTAATCGATCTTGTATTAGGTAATCTTCTCGTCAATGCTGATTGTGAACTTAAAATTTGTGATTTTGGACTTGCACGTGGATTTTCAGAAGACCCTGCAGCAAATTCTGGATTTATGACTGAATATGTTGCTACACGGTGGTATAGAGCCCCAGAAATTATGTTGAGTTTCCAGAGTTACACGAAAGCCAGTACGATATTTACATATTTGGCAGTTATTATTTACATCTTTTTTTTTTTCTTTTGAAAGAATAAAACCAAAAAAAAATTAATTTTATATTTAAGTTGATCTGTGGTCAGTCGGGTGTATTCTTGCAGAATTATTAGGCGGCCGACCGTTGTTTAAAGGACGAGATTGTATCCTTTATCTTTAAAAATCTTTTTACCAAATCGAATAATATTAATAATATTTTTATTATCCTTAGCAATATTAATCATTCTTTTCATATAGATGTCGATCAATTAAATCAAATTCTACAAACCCTAGGAACACCTAGTGATGCCACTTTAACAAGAATAGGAAGTACAAGAGTAAGATTTTATATGTCTTCTCTTTTTGATGCTTATTTTTCGATTAATACATTTGCACTTGTTGTAGGCACAAGAATATATTCGCAATTTACCATATATGCATAAAACAACGTTTCAACAATTATTTCCGAATGCAAATCCTTTAGGTATATTGTGATAATTGTAAGCTACAGTGATTTTAAAAGGGTGTTAACTTTTTATTGTTTGTATCATAGCAATTGACCTATTAGAACGTCTATTAACTTTTGACCCTGCTCAACGTATTACTGTTGAAGAAGCTTTAGAACATCCATATTTAGCTGTGTGGCATGATCCAAATGATGAGGTTTTCCTATACTCTACCGAATTATATTTGCAAATTTTATTTTTATTTATCTATACTAATTTTGTTTTTCATATAGCCGGTATGTCCTGAATTTTTCGATTTCTCTTTTGAGACAGTAGACGATCCTGATCAGATGAGAGGTACTTTGTGCTTTCATAATATTATAAATTACAATTTTTATGAATTTTATTATTAGTATTAAAAAAAATTTTTTTTAATAATGATAAGCTATGATTGCACAAGAAGTATTAAATTTCCGCGCAACAGTCAGACGCCATCAAGTACCGCAATTAAGTGTTGCAACTGGAGCTAAATCAACAAATTTATCAAAAATTCCAGATAGAGATACTATTCTTAATTCTCCTACAGTAGTACGAGGTGATCCAGATGCGCTTGTTGCTGGCCATTATCAACCAACGGGACTTGATAGTGCGGTGATGAGCGAAGATTTAGAACGAGAATTAAGTGGTGGAATTTAATGTAGGTATTATATATCATCGGAAATTTTATTCAGACACACATATATATTATTTTTGGTATATATTTTGTTCAGACTCAATGACGTTGATGTAGTTTATACAGTTGTATTATGTTATTTGTAGAAACGTTGTAAAACACTCATTTTTTTTCATTCGATTGATTATTTATTTGGTGAATATTTTTTTATTGTCTCATCCTAGCAATTATTTTAACAATATATATTAAATTAAATCAATTTTATAGTAGGAAAGTTATTATTGGAAAATTAAAAAGATATATATATATAGAGAAAATATAATGATATAATGATTAAATGGCAAAATCTATTTTATTCACGTTTGAATTTTTGGATAAACATTTAATATCGCAAACATTTTGTTACTTTATAAAGAAATAAGAATAAAGTTATTTATTTAAAGAACTTTTTATTTCGATTTAAATAATTTATTATCATTGATACTTTTCTTATTCCTTTCTTTGATTATTTTCAAAAACAAAATTAACAATTTTCCCACCATTAGCATGGATTACACGTTTAATCTTTTTACCAGTTTGATTTTCTTCAATCCATTTCTGGCCATTATTAGACTTACGAATTAACATTTCAACCATTAAATTATCTTTTAAAATTGAAGACGGAACCTGAAGGGAAAATCGCATTTTGCCATTAATCTATAAATAAATAAAAGAGTTAACAACACTTAACATCAAGTTATTTCAATACAATCATTTACCTGCACAACACAAGTAACTTCTTCAACGCTTAACCCTTTGTTATCAACCTTTGGCCAAGATTCTTCAAAGATTGTTCGAGTTCCCCTTCCCTTATTCAAAACCTCCCAAAATTCTTCTCCTAAACTTGGAGCCATCGGTGCCATCATTTTAACTAAACATTTAACACCATATATATAAACTGGCCGAGACATATTAACATTTGGGGAAATACTTGTAAGATGGTTTGTTAATTTAATCAAATAAGAAACTGCTGTATTGAATGAATAAGTATCATAAAATATTGTTGTCAACTAAAAGAAAATAAGGATTTAAAGCTTTTAGTCTAAATTTCACAGTAGATTTTATTTAAAATTAAATACAAACCTCCTTTATTGTAAAGTTTATTAATCTATATGTTTCTTTTTCTTCGTTGCTCATCATGCTCATATTCAATATGAGATCATCACTTTGTCGGGGAAAATTAGCGATGCTCTCAACTAACCTCCAAACACGTAAAATCCATCTTTGCATACCTACAATACTTGAATCTTCCCATTCAAGAATTTCGGATACAGGAGCTTTGTAAAGCATATGCAAACGCGTAGCATCTGCACCATACTTTTCGATAGTTATCTAATTAAAAAAAACGTAAAATCAATAATTAACGCTATATAAATAAAGATTAATTGGTTTGAGAGTTTGATTTTCTATACTTCTGGATCAATCCCGTTATATTTGCTTTTAGACATTTTTTCAAATGATATTTCTGGAGCCAGTCTGGTTGATTTCTGTATAGGTTCATTAGGATCTTATTTGATAAATTCATATAGAATATATATATTAACAAAAAATATGTATACATGTATCGGGCAATTTAAATTCCTTACTTGATAGATCGACTTCTTCAGGTTTTAAAAATCTCCCAGTTAAAGGGTCTTTAAAGGTTTTAGCATGAACCATTCCCTTAATTTATAAATAATATCCGCTTAAATAAATTCTAAATCATATATTGCAAATAATTCCTATAAAAAAGATCATACCTGTGTTACCAATTGCCTGAACGGTTCATCGCGTCCTTGAGTATTATTGTGTATTGGTTTATACATACCCAGTTTATATAAAAATTTTGTAAAAAATCTTGAATACAATAAATGTAAAATCGCATGCTCTACGCCACCAACATATACGTCAATAGGAAGATATTTGGATGCTTTATCATGTGAAAATGGCCTATATAAATATAATATTGGTTAAATGTTAGTTAAATGGTGAATTAAGATTGAAAGTTAATATTAACTTACAATAAAATATTATTTGGATCAGTGTAACGCATAAAATACCACGATGAGTCAACAAAAGTATCCATGGTGTCTGTATCTCTTTCTGCAGGACCGTGGCACCTTTATTGTAAATTAACTCATATATTCATTATTACGCGAAAAGAAAGCACGTATAATTCAATAAATCGGATTACTTTGGACATTTGGTATTTAACCAATCTTTTACGTATTTTAAAGGAGAACCACCACGCCCAGTAAGTGAAATGTTCGTTGGCAAAATAACTGGTAATTCTGACTCGGGAACAGGCACAACCTTGAAAATATCATTCTTTTAACATTAAACTTGCTTCAGGTTAATATAACTTGACGTCAAATGGAAATAAGCTCACGTTACATCTTGAACAATGTATCATAGGAATTGGGGCGCCCCAGTACCGCTGCCTTGATATTAGCCAATCTCTAAGACGATACTAAAAAGTTCAAATTTATTATAATATATTATAAATTACTAATAAATTCGATGTCATAATTTTGAAATTACTTGAACAGCTGAACGACCATATCCTCTTTTTTCAGCATCATTGACGATTGCATTTATTGCATTTTCACTGGACATTCCAGCATATTGACCGCAATCTGATGTTAATATTCCATATGATGTATAAACTTCACACTCTTCAATGAATTTCGCACCTTAGTTGGAACAAAATCCAGTTAATGAATGAATAAGGATTATAACAACTTTATCAAAACTTTTTTATAAAAGAGGCTGTACTGTAAGGCTTTACAACTCTTCTGATATCTTTCTCGTCAACTATCCGATTTGCTTTGGTAAAATTCCAATCACGTTGATCATGTGCAGGAACTCCCATTACAGCTCCCGTTCCATAATCAGAAACAACATATGAAGCTACGTAAATAGGAATCGTTGCTCCAGTAATAGGATGAGTTGCGTAAAGACCAGTATTGATCCCTATTAATAAATATTTTAGATTAAAAAATAAATTTATATTATTCAATAAACTGATACTCAATAGCAAATACCTTTGGTGGATTTTTTTTTTTCGTTCGCTCCAATTAAATATTGTTTCATTTCTTCTGCAAGTTTCAATACTTTAGAATAAACATCTGACTGAAGAAAACTATTAAATAATATAAATATCTAGTTAATAGTTAAAGAACTAGATTCCGATGATAATTGATACATACTCTTTTGATACGAGAGCATGATCTGTAGATATAGCTAGGTAACGCACACCAAAAATGGTATCTGGTCTGCTAGTAAACACTTTTATAAGAAATGTTGTCTCTCTATACTTTCTATTCAAATTCTTATTTGAAAGGAAATTGAAATAAATAATCGAACTTTATCGATAAGATTCTTTCATCTTCAACATACCACAATAAAATCAAATTCAGCACCTTCGGATTTTCCAATCCAATAACGTTGCATTTGCTTAACGCGATCTGGCCATTCATTCAACTTATCAAGATCTTTCAACAATGGCTTGATATCGGAATAGTTAAAACAGAATAAACATCAATTGATTTTTTTATTAAAATATAGGTTAAAACCTTTTTTCACCTCAGCAAAGTCTGTGATTTTAAAAAACCATTGTTTTAACTTTCGAAGTTCTACTTTAGCACCTGAGCGCCAAGAACGCCCCTCGCCATCTACCTAAACATAAATCTTATATTTAATTTTATAAAATTTTATTTTGTTTTTTTTTTCTATAATACCTGTTCATTTGCCAACACGGTTTGATCAATTGGGTCCCAATTGACAACAGCTTCTTTTTGGTAAGCTAAACCATTTTTATACAGTTTAAGGAAGAGATATTGCGTCCATTTGTAATAGTCTGAGTTACAGGTAGATAATTCCTAGAAATTGATGTCCTAATTATAAACATATTTCAAGTATGTCAAATTACTTTCAATATATATAATCCTAACCCTATCCCAATCAAAATCTGTCAAAATTTTTTCCATTTGCATCTTCATGGCTTTAATGTTTGATACTGTCCAATCAACTGGGTGAATACCATGCTCAATTGCAGCATTTTCAGCTGGGAGTCCGAACGCATCCCAACCCATAGGATGAATTACCTTGATAGTTTTTTTTGATTTTTCATAAATTTTTACAACTAATTGTTTATTCGACAGCGTTTATTCAATTAATTGAATACCTCGTGACCTAACATTTTCCTGAATCTTGAAATAGTATCGCTAATGGTGTATACTCTTACATGTCCCATATGTAACATACCACTTGGATATGGAAACATAGCCAATATATAAAATTTTTGTTTATTTTCTTGATTTTTGGGTCTATTCTTTAATTGTTTCCATCTTTCTCTCCATTTACGTTCTATAGCTAGCAAATCTAAGTTTTTTTGCTCGGAATAAAAGCGTAACTTATTTCGAAAAACTATGAACCCACGCGTCCTTATAACGCGTCCGTTGAAATATAGATGTGATAACATTAGATAAATACAAATAATTTTACTCATGTGCTTTGATATCGATAAACTTATTTCTACTGACTAGCCTAAATTAGAAATCGAAATTCTATATTTATTAATATAAAAAACATCCAAGAAAACGATTTAATATATAGTAGAATTTTTGTAACACTTCCAATGATAAGATAGAAAGTTTTTTTTGTTATTAATTTCCTGCAATCTAACGATAGGAGGTAAATATTTATAGTTAAATGAATCATAATTTAATAATCTATCACAAATTTTACAAGGTTTAGAAGTTAAATCATGATAGCTGTATATCCAGTCCTGAATTTTAAAGGATAAGGAAAAGAATATTAAATTAATTATTTTGTGAAAGAGGAATATGAAATAAAAACTTACTAATAGATCTGGTATTGGGTTGATTGGATCTAATTCATTTAATTTAGCAGTTGCTAGTTGTGTTATACGTTGATATTCTAAAGAATCCGATGTTTCTAAAATTGCTTTCTAAAAGAATTATTTTTATAAAGAAGTTAAAAAGATTGTCTAAAATAAATTAAAATTTAATGAAGTATGCAAAGAAATAACTTGCTTTTTCATGGCACCCAAAAAAAGCTATTCTTGAGATCGTTAAAGAAGAACCATCAATATCATTATATTTCAATGATATATAAACCTTTAAGAAATTATTTACTAGAACCTTCAAAATGTTTTTATGAGGAAATTAATTAAATCGTAAAATTTTTAACAAAAAAAAAGTTTATATATGTACCGTAAACGTTGAAACTCGTCCCGAATTGTCTGAGTCAGTTTTATCAATTTCTACTTTACATGATTTTTGTTTTGCTTCTGCAAGCCAATTATCAATTGTTCTATCAATTTGTCTAAAAAAAACTTAGTATAAGAAATAAATTTGATAAATTAAAAAGAAAATTACCTTGCATCATATAATTTTGTTCGGTTGAGAAAAGGCAATTCTGTAATGATACGTTGTTCTTCATTTTTACATTTTTTAAAATACGTTTTATAATCCTTAGAAAACGTACTTTTCAAGGAAAATTAAATTATTATAGTGTAGATTAATTTTTACAAAATAAAATGGGATTCTAATAAACTAAAAATTACTTTGTAACTTGTTGACTCGTTTTTTGCATCACTTCTTTAAGGTCTACAATAATTTTTTCTTCATCTTTAGGATTATATTTAATATATCTACTTCAGTAGAAAATATATGTATTAATATAAATTCTCATAGATAAATAAATAATTAATTAAAATACACTTAACGGTTTCTTTTGATTATTCTGATTAGCATTCCATTCTTCTTCAACTTTCTGAGCATGTTCCAAATCAACTAATGAACATATTCTGATTAACGTTCAATATCTAACTAGGTTAAGAAAAGTTAATATGACAAACCTGATGACAACTTGAGAAGCTGAGAGAATTCTTCCATTTTATTCATTATCTTATCATTCATTTTTTCTATATAATCTGGATCATATGTTGGAAGTGGGAGAGTTGTTTCTTCATTCTTTGCAAGATTCATCCTACTTACTTATTCTTTAAATTTTTTTATCAAAAAAGTATTAATAATAAAATAGAATAATAATAGAATCAAATGATTAAATAAAAAAATTCTTACAAATTTGGCGGTTTTTTTTATTTCAAAATATTTCAAAAATTAAACTATATTTCGTGAATTTCAATTAAGCATTTAACCTTTCGCTTACCTTCTTGCTCCTGCGGCTTCCAAGTTTCGCTTAAATGATCGCAAATGTTATTAAATGTAGCAGTTATCTCATTTATCTAAAACGAAAATACAAGTAAATATTTATTGTATACGTATATATTAAATAAATAATAAATCTACAAACCATTTTTATCATGTTGTCCAACTTTTCTATCTTCGCTTTCATCTCCATACTCTTCTTAAGTTCAAATTCTTTTTTCTCTTTAGCATTCATTTTTTTTCAGTTTTTTTTCTAAGTTTGTTTCTTATTTATCATTTTGAGAATGATATTATTGGCTGATAAGAATTGTCATCATAGATAAGTAATTGGACCATTGATTGGATAACTAAATCTCAGCTTATAACTTTACCACCAAACTTTTCTAGTACGAGAATGATTATGCAATTATATCGGTCCAATTTATTTTCTCTTCCGAAATTTCAAAAACAAGTTAAAGTTCATGTTAACAATAATATAGTCATAGCGCGTTTATCGGCTCGCTATCGATTTAGTTCATTGCAGCCTAAATCTTTTCGAACTGAAGCGACGTACGCTTTTCCGTTCACAACTGCAACGACAACTACGAAAATAACTTCCCATTTACGATTTATTACCCAAAATAGTAAATTTTTTATTATCAATTATAATGCATTTTTTCGTAACTCATTTAAACGGCAGCAACAACACATACATATACCATCATATCCACTAATAAAACGACAACAAACAGCATTTCAAATAGCATTTAAGCAGGCAGGGCGAGAATTTCTTCGTTTTCTTAAATATTTATTTATAAGTTTATTATCTACGGTACTAATCGGTTTATTATCATGGAGGGGATATCATTTTTATATTGAACATTTTTTGCATCCAACACCCACAAAATTATCACGTACAGCAAGAGATTGTTTGAGAGGAGCCTACGTACGCACAAATTTATCACCTGATTCACATATGGCAGAAATCTATTTAAGACAAGCACTTCAAATTGTACTTGAAAAAGACAAATTAGAAATAAATGATCCCATCGTTATCGATATTTTGCAATTATTATGTGATAATTTTGTTTGGAGGGGAAGCTTACATGATGCTATTATGCAATATAAACAAATCTTGGAATTATTATTACAGCAACCACAAAATGAAGGAAGAGAGATTGAAATTGCAAAGAAATTGGGAGATTTATATATAAGAGTTAAAGAATATAATACGGCGGAAAAATATCTTGTGTGGGCAATAGGTTTATTACAAGGAAATAAAGTTGAATTATTTAATGAAAATGATGAATCAGTGGAATTTACTTCAACTTCGATATTTACAAATTCGTCATTAATTAACAAAGATTTTATAGCGATAACAGATTTACTTGCAAGTATATATGCAAAACAGAGGAAGTATGATTATGCTCTAACATTCTATTTAGGATTACTTAAGATGATACAAGAAAAACAAAAAATAGACGACTTTACATTGAAATGTTGGGAGGCAATAATTAATTGTCATTTAGGAGAAATTTTTTATGATATTGGAAAATATGATGAGGCTTTGGGTTGGTTACAAAAAGGGTTATCTATAGCTAAAAGTAATAGTGGAAATAAAGATTGTGATGAATGTGCTGGAGTTATTCTTAATAATCTTGGTTTAATACATGAAAGAAAAGGAAATAATGAATTGGCTATTTCTTTATATACTAATGCTATAGAATTTGCTGAAAAAGCACAGGATTTTATTGGGATTGAAGATTTCGCTAGAAATTTAAATCGTGTTCAATTACAAGATAATGAAATTATCAAAGAACAAAAGAAATAAAATCATGTAAACAAAGTTTCGAAGTTCGAATATCAGAATTTTGTGTAACGTAAATTATGATCACGTTCACATGTCACGAATGATGTCAATATACTGTTTATGGTAGTGCCCCTTAAAGAAATTTTATATGATATTTTAAAATTTTTTGATTTATTAGATATTACTAAATTCATTCATAAATAAATTAAAACTTTTTAATGAATGCTTCCAAGTCCCTTTATTATTTATTCTCCTCGTTTTAGCATCTTTTCCTTGTTGATATTAATTTTGGGTCAGGAAGGAACTGAGATGATATTTTAAAAAAAACTGATATTTACACGGTGAAAACTATTGCAGTTATGGACAACACTAACGATTTACAACAAGGGTCCGGACTAACAAGCAGTTCTATTAGAAATAATAATGCTTTATCAGTTAATACAACTGCTATACAGCAAAACTATAATAACGGTGTCTCTTATCTTTCTTCACCTACTTTTCGACGAACCATGTTATCCAATGTGCGTCAGTCTTGGGTATTTAGTACACCCCCTTCAATTCCAGAAGCTGAAAGTGTTTATGTTCATCCAACTGCCATACTTGAAAAGAACAAGGCAACCGCAAAATCAAGATTGTCAATTTTTGTTCAAAAAGATGGTGGAAATCAACAACAGCATGGAAGAGTAATAACTAATAGCACAATAAATGAGGCTCCAGATATGGAGAATTTAACTGATAATGAACTATCATCATCTCCAACCTCAAGCAGACCTATATCTAATGTTTCTTCTTCTGTAAATCAAGATAGTAGTGAATACGATGCATTATCCGATTCATCACATTCCTTATCATCATCATTTGCTTCTACTTCTATAACAACGAACAATAGGGATAGTATGTCTGATATAACTTCAATGCTTAGCAATTCACCTTCAATACCAAATGATGATCCTAATAAATTTAATAGACTACCCAATAATAATGTCCCTCGCCATCGGTATTCTATCCCATCTGCTTCAAAAGAATTGAACAGTCCACGTCAATATATTATTGCTCCAAGACGTGCTTCAATGCCAATTCTTTCTAATAATACTGATTCTGATATTCGGACTTCATCTATGTCATCCGATATACCGATAATGGCAACAACTCTTTATGATGATGATGATGATGAACAAGACGATGAATTAAAAGAAATAGTAAAAAATAATAGCTCTTTCCTCTCTCCTAATGCCTCAAATGAAAGTTCTATTCAAGAGGTTGCTTTACGTACTAATAGATTATCATCGCCTGCCAATGCGCAATTAGCTCAGAGAGCTTCTAGAGCATCTATGAGAATGAGTCTTAATTCTTTAATGCAAAAACGTTTTAATATTGCTTTCGAAATCTTAACAACTGAACGTCATTACGTTGATTGTTTACAGCTTGTTCAGAGGGTATGAATTAACAAAGTTTAAACAAAGCGACGACGGAAAGAAAAATTTTAAAATATATATCAAAAAATGAATATTTATTATGTCTTTTTTTTCTAAATTGTTCTATTTGCTTCAATATAGTTATTCCTTGATCCTTTGACTAAATCATTGTCGTCAGCAAATCCAATACTGTCTAAGAAATCAATTAATGAAATTTTTGCAAATCTTCCCGAACTGATTAATGTCAATACCGAACTATTAAGAAGATTAGATGAAAGAATTGCTATAACTATTGATGATAAACCAATCGAAGATTCTGAGGATAAATTTTGGAATCCTGAGGATGGTTGCTTAGGAGATGTTTTCTTGAATATGGTATAGTAATATTTAATAATTTGTTCCTTATGAATTTTCATGTTATTTATTTTTAATTGTCAAAAACAGGCACCATTCTTTAAAATGTATTCAATTTATGTAAAAAACTTCAATTCCGCGCTTTCTGTAATCGACGTCCAATTAAGAGATAACCCTACATTTTCCGCTTTTCTAAGGGTAAATTTTTGAAAATCGATAATATTGTCAGTACATTATACGTTATTTATTGATTATTTTTTCTCTTAATTTTTACAGGATATTATCAAGACAGGACAATGCAAAGGCCTTACTTTACAAGCTTATTTGATAATGCCAGTACAGCGGATACCCAGATACAAATTATTGTTAGAAGATTTGTTAAAGAAAACAGTTGAAACTCATCCAGATTATCTCAATTTAAAGAAAGCGTACCAAGTTATTGAAAATGTTGCCACTTTTGTCAATGAAACTATTCGACAACATGAAATGTTTATTACTATGTTGGAGATTCAAAAATCATTAACGGGATTTGATGAAGTATTGTTAGTTCCTGGTCGCACCTTCATTAAGCGAGGAATCGTCAAAAAGGTATTAAGTTATTTATATTTATCTTTATTTTTATGTTTCATTATATCAACGTAATTAATCTTGTCTACTATAGATATGTCGTCGAACGCATCAGAAACGTGAATTTTTCTTGTTTTCAGATATTTTGATATATGCTAGCCCTAGTTTGATGGATGATACTTATACTTTTCATCGAAAGTTCAGTCTTGAAGATGTTACGATTTTAGTAGTCGAAGATACTCAATGTAATTATATATTTCAATTATGTTGATTTAGTAAATATTTTCTAAATAAATTTTTTTTATCAACAAGATGTAAAGAATGGATTCCAGATAATGAGTCCTCAGAAAAGCTTTACAGTTTATGCAGGTTAGATATCACTATTCAATATATTCATCTTAAATCTATTATTTGTGGTAACTAAATTAATTCCTCATATATACTTATATAGATACTCAAAAAGAAAAAGAATCGTGGATTAATGCGACTCGGGATGCCAAAGAAGAATATTTAAGCGCTAAAAGAACACTTAAAATTGGTATGCTATTTAATGACAAGTACATTATCTCCTTGCTTATAATTATTAAACTTTTGTTCATTTGTTTTAAGATAATAACGAGAGACTAGAAAGGAAGGACTTATACAAAAAGAGAATTGTAGAGAATTATCACGCACCTGTATGGATTCCGGATTCAAAAGCCGATCGATGTATGAATTGTTCTGAAGAATTTACAATATTTCGAAGAAAACATCACTGTCGAGCATGTGGTAAAGTTGTTTGCCATGCTTGTTCTACAAGAGTAAGTATCGATAGGAGGGATATGTAGATATTAAATAATGGAAAGATAACTAATTATGTAAATCTTATAGAACTTCGTTATTCCTGGCACAGTTGAACGGGATGATCAGTTGGCACGTGCATGTGATTCTTGTTTCTTTACAATGTTCCCAGATGCTTTAAGAGATGAAGATCTAGCACCTGGTATTCACGTGTGGGACCTTGTTGGTAATAGGAGTACAACGTCACTTGTTGAATCTTCACAAAAAGATGATAATATTAAAGACAAAGAAAAGGACAATGTTATTAATGAATGTAATAAGTTTGAAAGAACTATTTTTAAAAACATTGAGAACAATCGAGCAAGTGTAGTTTCTTCTTCCGTGAGTTAATTTTTTATTATTTTTAATTTATTTATATTATTAGAGAGATATATTAAATTATTATACTTTTATTAGTTAAAATACATCCATGATGCTATTGTAGCTAAACGATGTGAGCAATGCAGAGTTGATCTTACTGTATTCAGATGGAGGGTAATGTTATAATGTTATAAGCTATAATACAATATTAATTTCTATAAATATTGTAACTAACTTTTAGAACTTTTCATCCTTAGAATACATGTTTGAAATGTAAAAAAATTGGTAAGTTATTGTTTAGATTATATTTTGATAATCGGGCTCATCATTGACTAATCGTTTTATATACTTCTTAGTTTGTACTGATTGTCTCACAAAGAAACCGATTGATTTTTCATCGCTTCCAAAAGAAATTTTGGAGGCATTATCATCAGATGAAACACAGACAGTTGAGAATACTCTAAATAAGCGATTAAGTACCACAACAAATGTTATTAAAATATGCGATTTTTGTTATTTAGGTAGGTCCCCACAAATCAAAGAAATTTCTTATATTAAATAATAATTTTTTTTATAAATATTTGGTAGGTATTGACCCAAGTCATGTAACAATAGATGAAGAAACAGATGGATGGAGTGCAAAAGGACAAATAACACCGCCATCAACACCTGAAATGAAAAGCTATCGTGACAATCATGTTATGATAGAGAAAGAATTATGAAAGATTAAATATATTTTTTTATGTATATTATTTGTATTTCTATTGTGTTCATATTTCATTTAGTAAATTGTACAAATATATATATATTTATACTATAAAAAATGTAAAACTTTTTTTAGCTATTATTATGTTAATCTTTAATTAATAGTAATACTGATATAAATAAATAAATAATTTTTCAAAAACGATCAATAATCACGTGAGACTTGCTTGGAAACAAGGAACATTAAAAAACAAAGAATTTTTATAACGTAATAATAATTTACCATTGATGGCGCTGTAATACAAGAAAGGAAAAAAGATAATATGCAGGCAATTAAAATAATTGATTGGATAAGCAATTGATGCACGTTTAAAATTTAGAAAAATTAAGGAGGTTTAAAAATGATCAAAGAATCAAAGAAAGTATCGTTGCAGGTTGAAAATTTGATCTATAAATTCCGTTAAAAATAAATAAGTATATATATGTGTGTGTAAGAGGAATCCATTGTATTATTTATTGCCATATAAAGAAACTTCAACTTATAATAATGGTAATTTAGTTTTTAGGGTGAGCTTCGTATACTGGCTTCTATGATCATTAGTTTAATGTGTTACACATTTGTTTTCTCGGATCTTAGTTATTTAATTTAATATTTGTAAAAAGGAGATTATATAACCATTAATAACTTTTGAGATAATTCAAATGACTTTTTTTTACTTCAATTGTAAATGTGGCTGGATTTATAAAGTACGGATTTATGAGTTATGGAATCACTTATTGTGAACCAACCAAAATCATTTATTGAGGATGAAGTCATTTGGCTTAAACAAAGAAATAAGTATCATTTCCCAAATTGGTCGAACAGCCTTTATAAAAATAAAGGGATTACGAAAAAAGGTCAATCCGTTAATCGTTACCTGATGCTAAAAAAAGGATTTCTTCCGTTACGCAAAATTCAATCATTTTCAAGTACAAATAGCCCACAAATTTCCACGCTTTTTTTTTTTTCATTCAAAAAAAGAAAAAAATACGATAACAACAATACCAAACGAAATTCATATTATCCTCTTATCCTCCACAACTTTACAAACAAATAAACTCTTCTTTATCTCTAAATTTATCCCTCAAAAAAATGTCTTCCTCAACTGGTAATAAAACTCTTGTCTATGACGCTCTTAAAACCCTAAATACTCCTACTGAAGATTCAAAAAACGATTTTTTCGATGACAGTGAAGATTTATATGTTCCTGAATCTTTCTCTGCTTTCTTTGGTGATGTAATTTCTGAACAAGATATTCAAGACGCCATTAATCAACTTGAACAAGAAAAACAAAAAGAAACCGAAAAGAAGGTAAAAGATAATCAAACTGATAGTTCTAACACTTCAGATGAGGAAAATGAGGAAAATGAGGGAATATTGAGTAAATTCAGGAAATTTATTAAAATGTAAATTATAAGTAGATAAAGTAGATTTGCATATTTATTATTTATTTAAATTCACACACACATATATATATATTTCAATTTTTGCATTTTTTTTTGTAATTTTATATCTTAACTTTGTATGATACAATTATCTAAATATAAAATAGATTTTACTTTAAAAAAAAAAAAATTTCACGTAAAATTTGTACGATATATCAACTTAGATAGCCTTTTTTAATTGTTGTTAAAAAAAAAAAAAGAATAAATTTGTCTTTGCCACCATTTCCATAGCGTGCGTGACTGGTTGTGCATATGCACAGTACCTTTATTTTTTGCATACTCAATATTACATTACGACGATGATCGTGGAGATCGTGGCGATCGTGATGATCATATAATTCTAAAACTCTAAAAACTTGGCATTTTACTCAAAATCTACTACCAGTTTTTCTATAAAAAGAGTCCTGTTCAGTTCTGTTTCTAGAATTTTCTAAATTATGGCGTCACAGACTCCTCTTGGTAGATGATTATTCCACCATGAGGTATGAACTCATTGAGATTCATGTATAAAAGACACCATCAAATTATGGAAGCTTCAAATAACACATCTCTTTAGTGGAAACTGTAATAAAAGACTTAAATGACGCACTAGGACCCAGTTAAATGATACAGAGATCGGGTGGATCGGGTGAAAATATCGGGCACTTTTATCGGGCACTTTTAGAGATTACATAAAATTATTTGTTATACGGAACTTTATTTGAGAAACAATTTCTTTAAAACCAAGGACTTGAACTAGATGAATGAGATGATATGATCAAAGTAATAAAATATTTCAGGAAAATGAGAAAAGTATAGAAAAAGCGAAAAAATTATTGAAAGAACAATTCCCTGGCATTTCTCCAATGTGATAAAATTCTGCCTCTAACAATGAATCTTCAAGTAATAACGTGTCGTGAACAACATATTTAAACAATTCACCGCTTCAATCAATAAATATGTTTATCAAACGTAGTCGAAACATTACGTTTAAAAAGGCTCAAAAAAAATTGGCCTGATTTAAAAATCGCAGTGGTATAAATTATACTGCCTACGTTGAAAGAAACGGTGGTGTTGACAAAGTTGACGTCTTCGCCCTAGCCGTAATGCAAATAAACAAAATCAATTACTGTAAATCGGTCAAATTATCAATATAAAGATAAATTATGTTATCTCGGTGTACAGTACATGAGTTGCTTCCTACAACTTCAGATGATAGAAAACTGATCGTTGTTCCATCAGTACTTGATCTGATAAAATCATTTCACTTTTAAAGTGAGCGTGTCCAGCGTGTCCCGTACGAATTATCTAGGGTTTTAAGAATGTGGGGCACGTTTACCGAAAAATTGTTTATAATTTAGTCTTTAATATCCTGGCTGATTTTCCTGTCAATTGTTCACCAACGAACACAAAATAAGTTAAAGGACAACGGAGTTTTGCTGTCGTTTTCGCTTCATAGAGCCTAATTTAGGACAAATCAAAAAAAAGTGTAAAACATGATCATGACGAAAAATATATAGCGTGAGTAATGTTACTACATAACCGATTCCTCCTCCAGAATCGGCAGACAACCTTCTTTTGAGATTTCCTAGACTTTCATGAGAAAGAATATTTGTAACATAAAAACATTTCACTTACCCGCTTCCATAATTCCGTAGAAATAAAGAAACTTGAAAGAGTTGTAAAATAATAAAATACTCCTTTGTATAAAGTTTTCTTTACACATCGCTGGCGCAGTATTGTGCATGTAAGCGATACTCAACATGTATGGTCATGTGATATTATATGTTCAACCACATTTACTGGTCATTTTGTCATTTTGTTAATCTTGTCATTAATACATTTGGAAAAAAACAAAATGTCTCTTCGTTCAAAACGAGTTGTTTTTGAGAAGGTTTTTGCCGAGTTTAGGCAGGATCTAGAGAAAATGTTTAATTTCTCCGGTTTAGATCGAGTGTCAGGAATGAAAATGTATCAGTATCCTTTTAAATCGAGATTACTTTATAAGTTCGTCTACCATGGTTTTTTTTTCAATAAAAATGATAACTTTTATTCCTTGACAGCCTTTAACTTTAAATAGATTGGTGTATGATATGTGCACTGCTGCGCCAAGACCACATACCGAGAAATTGTTTAATGCTATAGCTGATTTTTTGAATGATTATACGATCCAAATAAGAGAGGTATGCTAAAATTAATCGAATATATTAACATTCAAGCGTAATCTTTAATTAATTAATCGATCTCTTTTATATTTGAATCAGTCAATTTTAGATCATGATGATGTAGTGAGCGCTTATGCTAGAGAATGGAAACATTATAGTCTAGCTGCAGGATATTCTAGTATGATGTGCGAATATCTTAATAAACTTTTAGTAAATGGTACAAAGGATAACAAATCAAGGGGTATGGTTGATAAAAAAACGACCGTACAAGGTGGCAATTATAGACGACAAACTGTTCAAGCAGTAGGTGTTTTTAACTTACATGATTTTTGGTATTAATATTATATATTTTATATTTTTATTTTATTCTATTACTTTTTTATTTTAATTCTTATTTTTTTTTTTTACAATAGTTGGCATATAATATATGGAAGAAGCAAATTGTTTATACAATAAAGGAAAAGAATTCTGATCGATTCATGCGTCAAATATTTGAATTGATTCGAAGAGATAGAGATGGAGAAGATAAAGTCCCCGACATTGTCTCAGATGCAATTATGTCACTTGGTAACTTTATTACACTATTTTTTATTTTTATTAATATACTGACATTTTTTTTTTTCAGTTGAATTGACCGAGCATCCTTTAAGTTTATACATTGAAGAATTCGAAAAACCGTATTTGGTACATACGCGACGATATTATGAAAGGGAATCTGCTACAGTAATAGCCAATGCTAGCATTTCTGAATATATGAAAAAGGCATGAATGATATATTAAAGCTGTTTAACTCGATTTAGTTGTTTAATTAATGTTATTTACATTTATTACTGTTAAAATAGGCTTCTCAAAGGCTGGATGAGGAAGTGACACGAAATTCGAAATATTGTCATAAATCGTCACATGATACTGTATGTTAAGCTAAAGTTTATGCATCTTTTTTTTCACATATTATTTATGGTTAACCCTTATTTTTTAATATATGAAACAAATTAGGTAATCAAAGAATGCGAAACGCAATATGTAGCTGCACATCAAACAAGGATACAAGGTGAATTTGGGGCCATGATATCAAATGAGAGATATGAAGGTAAATATAATATAATATAATATAATATAAATAATAATAAAATTAAAGTATATATATATATGTGAATAAATATTTGATTTAATTTATCTTTATTTTGATTAGATTGTACGATGGCCTATACACTCTTATCACGTATTCCAGATGGTGTAAATCCCTTATTAGAAATATTTGAAAGATATATTACAAATATTGGTAATGGATTGATAATCAGAATGGGAAATTCTATTGCCAAGGTTTATTTCATTTATTTAAAATGAACCACTTATACTTTTTAATTTTTAGAATTTATAATTTTATGTAATATATAGGATCCTAGAGAATATGTAGAATTTCTTTTAGACCATCACTCAAAATATCTAACAGTTTGTCAAAAAGTTTTTGTCAATGATGCAGCTTTTGTAGCCGCAGTTGATAAGGCTTTTAGGACAATTGTTAACGATGTAACTATAAATCCAGTTGCTCATTCTCCCGAGGTTATGGCTCGTTATTGTGATGTTTTATTGAAAAAAACTCACAAAGGAGGATGGAGTGAACAAGAAGTTGAAGATAAATTAAATAGAATGGTAAATTATTTTGTCACACACACATTTATATTGAATTCATATATGACACAAATTAAATTTATTTATTGTTAAACAAATAGATTATTCTTTTCAAGTATATCGAAGATAAGGATGTTTTTCAAAAATTCTATTCTAGGATGCTTGCGAAACGTCTTATATATGGAAATTCTGCTTCAGAAGAAGCAGAAGCAAATATGATTTCCCGATTAAAGGTTAGTTATAAATATTATGAATAACTTTAATTAAATATTAATATATATATATATATATATATATATTTTTTTTTTTTTTTTTTTTTTAAGAATGCATGTGGTGTTGAGTATACTAGTAAATTACAAAGGATGTTTACTGATATCACAATTAGTGCAGATGTCAATAAGGATTTTGCCGAATATGTAAAGACAAATCCTATGAATACTGGAGGTAATTATATAAATTCTTTTTATCTATTATGTTAAATTTAGATGATGATTCAATTTTTTAATTTTAAATGCATTTGAATAATTATATATTTATTATTTTAGTCGATTTTTCTATTTTGGTATTAACTGCTGGTGCTTGGCCATTAACACAAGTTTTAACTACTGAATTCCAATTACCAACAGAGGTGATATTTTATTTAATATATTATTGATTAAATGTTAAGATCTAAGATTAAAGTCATAATTTTTTTTTATAGTTGGAAAAAAGTGTGACACATTTTTCAACTTTTTACAATAGTAAACATAGTGGTAGAAGACTGACATGGTTATGGCATTTATCTAAGGGTAATTATTATATTATATTTAGATAAAATAAGGATACTAATTAATAATTTTATTAAATTTTAGCTGATGTGAAATTAACATATCTTGATAAACGTTATGAATTTTCCGTGTCACTTCACCAACTTGGAGTTTTATTATTATATAATGATGCTGATACGTTTACCTTTAAAGAAATAATAGAACATACGGGACTTAATGATCAAGAATTGAAAAGAGTTATAAAGGTAAAAATATAAATATTAATATAAATAATATAATATAAATAAATAAATAGATAAAAATTTCTAATTTATTTAATTTATTTAATTGTAATATATAGCCAATGATCGATTTAGCAGTATTAATTGTTTCAACACCTGGAACATTTAATGATGATACTGAAATAAGATTAAACATGGAATTTACAAAGTATTTGAAATTAAAAATTTTTTTTTTTGTACTAAATGATAGTCCGATAATTTCCTTATATAACATCCCGTCGGCAATTCTGTATCTGATGGCAACATTTTTTTGTAAAAAGTTTTTTAACAAAGTACCTTTTTTATTATTATTATTATTATTATTATTATTATTTGTTTAGCAAACGAAATAAAATTAAGGTTAGTTCATCATTACAAGCTGAAACACAACAAGAAAATGATGCAACTCGAAAAGCAGTTGATGATGATCGAAAACTTTATCTTCAGGTAACTTTTTTTTTTCTTTTTTTCTTTTTCTAGATGTTTTCGATAATCAAATCTTTTTTTTAAAAAAATTTTTTTTAGGCTGCTATTGTACGTGTAATGAAATCACGAAAAACTTTAACACATCAACAATTAATAAAAGAAGTTATCGAACAAGCAAGATCAAGGTTTACTCCTAGTGTACCAATGATTAAAAAATGTATTGAACAATTATTGGAAAAGCAATATATTTCAAGAACAAATGAGAATAAAGATAAATATATTTATATGGCATAAATAGAATTGAACGATCATTATTATTTAGAATTTTAATAATAATTTTTTTTTTTTTAAGATCAGATCATTATTATTGTTGTTATTATTAATATTATGCATTATTATGCAAAAGAATGTTTTTTTTTACCGTTTTTAATTAATAAATTTAATAAAACTCGTACCATTAATGTTAAATTAAATAATATAGAAGTAATAAGTGATCAATTGTAATATGAACGTTTCAATGATCGATATTTTCTCAAATAATAAAGTGTTTCTAATTCTTAATATAATTATAATATATATATATTTAAATATAAAATATAAATTATAAAATATATATATATATATATAAAAATAAATAAATAAATAAAGTAAGTAAATAAATAAATAAATAAATATACCTTTAATGACATATTCTCCTAAATCAATAGCTTTTTTGATTTCATGATAATTTTTTAAATCACGATTTTTTAAAAAGGCAGCTTTTAATTTTGGACGAAAAAAATTTTCGTAACCTGATGGATATTCTCTACCTAAGAATAGAAGCTAATATAATATATAATATATATTAAATATATATATTTAATAAATAATTTAATATATTAGAGAATAAATAAGTTAAAAAAGAGGAAGACCTTTTTATATAAATCTCTGACTTGATATTTCAGTGGGTTCGACATAGTAGATTAACAATACTCCAAGGTTAAAATTAAAAATTACGGAAAATTTTGATCGGCAAAAAAATAGATCTACATTGCATATTTAATAAATTATAAATAACAACGCTAACCGCAGTATTTAACATAATATATTATATATATATTTATTATTAATATTAATATTAATATTAATATATATATATATGTATATATATATATGATATATATGATATATATGATGATAATGTAACTAAATATAACAAATAAAGTAAAAACTATATGCATTAATAAATAATTTGCATTTAAAATTAACAACAAAGTTTTATTGAGTTTTATCTAAAAAGGAATTAGTATTCTAGATATAGTACTTATCACTATCACATTTAATCAAAAAAGCAGGGTTTACATAAAACATGTGATTTAATACATTTTCGAAAAGGGTCTTTATTTAAGTTTAAAATCGGTTAAATGTTTTTTTTTTACACTAATAAAAAAGATTTACGAAAAAAAAAAAAAAAAAAAAAAAACAAATAATTTTAAAAACTTCCAATTTGCCAATAAAACAAAAAAAGATGAACTAAACTAAAAATTAACAATTAATATTAAATTTGTGACGCATTATATTATTATTATTTACTTAGATTTGTAATTAAGAAATTAATATGCATTTATTTTATAATTTTTTTGATGTCATCAAAGATAATAAATATGTATAATAATGTATAATGTGATATGCAATTACTGTATTTAGTCGTGAGTTGACAGATTTTTTACACCGAATCTATCCTCTAATAAGTTACCGAATCTTAAATTATAAATCAAATATATACTAGAATATTTCCAATTTAAAACTTTTTTAGCTTTCCGCGTGTTTATACTTGAAACATCATATTTAACAAGATAACGTTATTTATCATAAAATCAATAATAATAATAATAATATTCTTTAAATACTCACTCTTCTCTCTTATTTTTATTACTTGTTTTCTTCATTCTTTCATTAATTATATATTATTATTATGATATGAAAAAGATTTTCATTTTACATATAAGCACGAGAAATATATCAACGGTTTACACCTATTATTATAATATATTTATTTGTTATTCGTTATACGACTGCTAAACTTTATCTTATGAACCACTCAAAATCTTGATTATTTACTTCTTTCCCTCGTTTCTTTCGTTTGAAAGGTATATTTTCTAAGTTGTACCGACATCACACATATAATTTTTTATTAAAAAGAATCTAATTTAAAACTGTTAAAATTATTATTTTTTTTTTTCATTTTTTTTTTTTTTTACAATNAATAAAAAAAAAATTTGTCTCCTTTTTTTTTTTATTTTTACTTTTTCAAAACATTCAAACAGTAATCATTCCTTATTTTACCACCTTCCTTGTTTTTTTTTTCATCACTTAATATTCATCATATCCCTTTCTTTTCCTTTTTTAGCATTTAACAATTATATATTTTACTAATTTACGTACAGTATTTTTTTTTCGAGATATATATATATACATACATACATACATACACATATATATATATATTTTTTTTATTTATTTATTTATTTATTTTATTTATTTATACTATATATTTCTTCCTTTTTTTACATTCGTAATTACTCTTCTTATAAAGTTATCTTAAAAAAAAACTGATCCGAAAAAAAAAATACCAAAAAAATGGATTAGTAAGTTATAATATTTTATTAGTTATTACTAAATTACTAACAAAAGAGAATATAATAACCATTTACTTAATGATTTTTTAGTTATTGTTTAATACAAGTACGACTTGAAGGTCGTGACATACCAGTTGACGTTGGTTATTCACAAGGAACTTCTGTTCAAGCTGTGCTTGAAAGGGTAAGTAAAATATTAGAAACATTCATATCTTTAAATAATTAGATCATTTTAATGTTTTAATACTTTTGGTTTTAACTTTAGGCATGTAAAACTTTGAATATTTATGATTCTTGGAATCACGCTTTATATAGTGAATTATTTAAAACTTGGTTATGTGAATCACATTTATTATCATCATATCCAGCTGAAGTAAGTTATAATAATTATTTCATTACATATTATCTTTTTAAGTTATATTAATTTGTTTTTAATTATATAGGATACTTTAATAGTTCGAAAAAAGACACCTGAATATCTTGAACTTGTATATAATGAAGAAAATCCAAAAAAGGTTTTTAATTATTATTTTATTTTTTTATTATTTTTTATTTTTATTTTACATATATTTAATAGCGTAAAGTATCATTATCAACAAATAATACCGTACAAACAAAACGAAGAGGAGTTTTTAGTACTACTAAAACATCTTTGAAAACGCGTTTTCATCCTGAAACAGTTTATTTAACTGCTATATTATTTTCAAGTGATAATAAAATATTAATTACATCAGGTACTAAAATGTTTCCTACTGTAGATGTAATAAAAGATAGTAAAATATTTACCAATTTTGAAGATGATAGTGAAGAATTTGCTCATGTTATAAGAACTTCTTTGGATTGGGCTACTTCATCTGAATTTGATCATAAAGATGATGATTCGGATTCTTTACATTCTTCTCATTCAAATAATACTGGTACTACTGATTCTTCTTCTGATAATAATAATTCTTCTCAATATTATGGTGATCAAGATACTTTATGGACTCGTTCTTTTGGTCAAGCTGCTTTAAAATTAAAGAATGAATTATCTTTAGAATCTTTAGGAACTTTATATGAACATGTCGTACAAATGAATACTTCAAAATCAAAATTTATTGTAGCCCTTCAACATGTACCAAATTGTATTAAAGATGAAATAGCTCCTGATCTCATAAAATCTGGTGTATTAAAATGGAAAAATTTTGATGAAACTAGTTCTATTTATCAAAAAGATCCTCATCCTGTTTGGTCTAATTTTATTGAAAAATGGTGTTCTCGTCAAACAAAATTATCTCCTGGACTTTATTTAGGTGTTTTATATACTGAAAGTACTTTACAAGGTATTAAAATTTTAGTACCAAAAGATCGTAAACAATTCATTCCTTTAGGTAAAGTAAGGGATGAAGCTACTATTACTCCTGAAGAAGCAAGTTGGATTAAATCTTTAACTTGTTTAAGTCAAGATTGTTTCATGGATTTAGCTATGGCTACTAGATCTGATCAAGATAATAATAAATCATCTTTAGGACAATTTCAATCTTCTTTTTTAGATTGTTATCATAAATTACAACTTGATACTAATTTAAATTGGGAATCTGGTGATATTTATGGTGATCAAACTGTTGATATTTATTTAGATTTACAAACTAATCAAATGTATACTATGATGGGTGAATTAGATGATAATATAATTGATCAATATAATGGTAATTCTTCATCATCTCAAAATGATTTATATTTAGATCCAAATATTATTAATAATAATAATAATAATAACATTTATAATAATAATAATCACAATAATAATAAATTTAAAAACTTTTATAAAAGTACTAGTAATAATAATAGTAATAATAAGTTAGAACAACAACAACAACAACAGCAACAACATCAAAATCATGATAATGATGATGATGAGAAAAAAGAACAAAAAGAAGATTCTCAAATAGAAAAAGAATTAGAATTTGAGAAACGAAAACAGCAACAACGGGAACAAGTTTCAAAAGATTCATTTCGAAATTCTATCAAATATAATGAGGAGGATCAAGAAGTAAATTATGTTATTGATGCTGATGATAATGGTAATAATGATAATGATGATAATATAGAAATTATAGTAAAAGATGAAGAATTAAATAATAATGATGATGATAAAGGAAAAATTTTTAAAATGTCATTAAGTGCTCCAGAATCTGAATATGATGAAGATGAAGGTGGTTCAATGGTTAAAACTTGTACTTCAACAGGTGGTGCAACTTCTGTTGCTGAAGAAATTGCATCTTCTTCAATTACCTCTTTTAACGTTGGAAATACAATTAGACCTTTCATTCGTATAATTTTAATTGTGAAACCTATGCGTCAACCACATCAAATTCGTGGTCCTTACTATTCTCGTTTATGTATGTTATATCCTTTTCCTTTATATGATGCTCTTCAACATGCTACCTTTAATACTTCATTATATGCTTGTTCTCGTCGTGCGATGCAAATTTTACAAGCTTCAAAAACTTATTTTACTCAAGAAGTAGTTAGACGTTTACAAAAAGTTGATAATTTTTCTGAAGTAAATGAACAAAATCTTGAGGATTTCTTTTTTGATCCTGATGAATTTAATAAAGTTCCTGATGATGCTCGTAAAATTCAGCAAGCTATTGATGTTATTCGTGATGAAATTGTTACTTTGAGACAACAATGGAATGCTTCTTCTTGGACAATGACAGCTATTGAATGGGATCGTCAAAGAACAATGCAAGCTTATAGTTTTGGTGGACGACCAATGACTCTTAATGTTTCCAGATCTGGTCCAAGTCGAGCTGCTTCGGTTTATAATTTAAGTCTTTCCAATAATAGTACTGATGAAGATAATAGTGTCAATAGAAAAAGATTATCTACCAACTCAAAATTTTCTTCTGATACAGTTTCACAAATTGAAATTCTTCGAGATGTTATGATTCATGCACCTGATCGTGCTTGGAATCATATTAATTTCTTAGGAATTCCAATACCTACTAATAATGAAGTTAATAATAATAATAATAATAATAACAATAATAATACAAATATATCTAATAATAATAGTAAAGATAAGAAAAAGAAACAGAATGATAAACAGAATTCCACTCAATCTTATTCTAGATCTATTCCACCAGTATTAGCAGCATATTTAGCTTCATCACCTGTTATTGTAGCTCCAACGATAAATCGTTCTTCTTCAATATCTTCTACAATTTCATCGATTTCATCAAATGCTTCTTCTCCAGGAGGAACAAGTATTTTACCTGCAAGAAAGAGATCCGCCGGACATCGTCTCATGAGAACTTTTGGTTTTGGAGGAAATCGAAATAATAATGTACAACAGCAACAAATCAATTATGGTGAATCTTCCGATCTTCTTAATATTCAAAGTAAAGGTGGTTTAGAAAATAATAAAAATCTTACGTCTAAAACAAAGAAAATGAAAGAACTTCAAATTGAAGAAGAAAATGATGATGATGATGATGATGATGATGATGATGATGATGATGATGATGCAATCACCATTACAATTCCTACTCCTTCAAATCAATCTCATCAACTTAATCCAATTATTCCATCATTTACCCTTGAATCTGCCGAAATTGAGGATGAAAAAACGGAAGTTCAATCTTATAAATTAGAAGAAAATGTGTTATTATCGAATTCTGAACAAAAAGAAGTTAAAAAGAATGTTGATGTTGTTATTTCAGCGGAAAATTTTGATGATTATAGTAATGTTGAAAAAGAGAATTTAAACAAAATTGATAAGATTGAAAATACTAATGAATATGTCGAAGTTAGCAAAAATATTATTGAGAATGAAAGTAAAATTTTAGAACCGAAATTAATATCAAAAGTTGATCCAGAATTTCAAAATTTAATTGATATTATTGAAAATAAGTCAAAATCACAATTGGAATCAGATACTTCTATAACATTACGTATTGAGGAAAGTAATATTAAAAACAACAATAAAACTTCTACAAATAATATAAATAATGAAGCTTTAAAACTCACTATTGTGAATGAAAAAGAGGAAGATATTAACGTTAATGCAATACTAGAAGAATCACCAATAGATCCAATAGATAAGAGTGAAAATAAGGATGAAATCATTAAAGAAAAGGAATCATTTAATATTGATTTGGAAAAAGTTGATGGAGCTGATACTATTATGGATGTTGATGTTGCAATTGACGAAAATATAGAATCTTTGAGCGCATCAAATAAAAAATTAACGATAGTTTCTGAAGATTCAATGAATAATACATTGGCTGCATCCAATTCTACTTCAACTTGTACTTCTACGACTCATACCACTACTACTTCAGCTACTGATACTCCATTATCATCAAGAGATTCATCTTCTCCATCAACACCTCATCCTAATCCTCCTCCGTCAACACCAACAAGTGGACTTGTTCTTACTCAACCGTCGCTTTCTAATGCTTCGTTTTCTTCTTCAGTTCCTTCCACTCCACATTTTCCTCCTCCTCTATTTTCACAATCAATTCCTCCAACACCTTCGACGCCATATTTTCCAGCTGAATTTTCACTTTCACTTTCACCTGAGACCTCAAGACCTGAAACTCCTGATTTTCCTCACGATTTATCTCATCAATCATCACCACCAACACCCCAGCTTGTTCCTCAGAAATTATCAGAAATAGAAACTAACGGTCCCCAAGTTCCTTTGTCTTCTCCATCATCAGAAACCCCATTACACACAATTTCATCATTTCCATCAACTCCACAATTTTCACCTTCAGCTCAAAATTCGAGACCTTCAACACCTCAATTGAATTCACCGACATTGTTTGAGGAATTGAAAAAAGCGACATTATATGCACAACCTCAATCTCCTACTGCACTTTATGAAGAATTGATTAACATACAAAAAACTAATTCTTCACCACCCTTCCAAATTTCTCCTCCCGTTTCTCCGTCATCACTTCCTCCTCTTCCCTTATCAGTTCCATCAACCCCTCAATCAGCATCGCACTTTTCGGTTTCTATTTTTAAAGAAAAATTTCCTACACCAGTCATCTCTACAAAAAATTTATCCCGAACAACGACTTCACCACTTGTTAGTCCTGTATCTAAAATATCAACCTCACCAATATCTACACATGTTGTAACTACTTCTAACACAAATTCCACAAATTCACCTACATTAAAATCACCTTCATTGTCATTGAATTCACCAATGATATCGAGACCTCCTCTTACTCGATCAAAATCGGCATCCGGACGACCTACACCTCCTCCTCCATTATCTGTTTCATCATCAGCTCGTCCACCACCACTTCCTCTTCCTCCAACATGGCCGACCCTTAAAAAAACTAAGAAACCTGAACTAAAGAAGGATGAAACGGAACTAGGGGCAGATCTGTTTACTCTTCAACGTAAAACACGTTCTAGAGCTTCAAGTCTATCTGAAGGAAGTAGTCTGGAATTGAAAAGGAGACAAGATTCGCATGGTTTAGATGAATACAATGAACATATTGGTTTAGAACAACAAAAAATAACTAACGATAATACTACAGGTTTAAAGATTATCTCATCTGGAAATGTTTCAAAGCCTCAGACAAATGGAACTTTTAAGAATCTTTACTTTGAAAAATCTTATATAGAGTCAATACCGAAAAATCATGAATTTTTAACGGACATTAAATCAACATCTTTAACAAAGGATGAACCAATTGCTACTAATGAAGTAAAAGAATTAAATGTAAACAGTGTAGTTAATAGTATCGCGAATAGATTTGAAAGTCGAATACTCACTCACCAAAATAATGATGGAAGTGAAAGAAATGATGGCGAATATTTACGTTATTTACAATTTTCATAAAATTCATTAAAGTTATTAAAATCTAACGTTGAATATTTATTTTATTAATATTTTGTATAGAAAATTTTTTCATATTATATTATTATTGAATTAGAAAAGAAAAATATAATATTTTTCTTTCTTTATCTTTTATTTAATATGTACTTATAAAAAATTATATTTGATTGTAGAGTTAAATTTTTTTATTTTAAATTTTTTTTTTTATTCTTGTTAATAAAAAAATATTTCTTTTGAATATCTCCTAAATATGGTTTTTAAAAATCGCGTAATTCATACCGGATATAAAAAACGTGCAAGCTCACTTTATTAAGTTACACAATAGACGCGTTACGTAACTTTTGATACTTAAACGACACATCCTGGTGCTAAATAATTATTTTAATAAATACCTGACTTCGTTCCTGCGGATTTTCGTTTTTCATAAAGCGATCTTATTTATAAGGAGTTTTAAGAGTCATTGAATTATGTCTTATGAGCACGTACCTGAGGCTTCTTTAGTGACTTTGACACGTCAAAAAGAGAATGTTTTCGTTGAGGAATCACGAAAAGCGTTAAAACGCCAAATAGAAGATAAAGAAAATTTTGAAAACGTTCAACACAACAAAGTTCAATTAACTGGTGATTGTAAGTCAATAAAAATACAAGCGACGAAATATAATGAAAAAGTGAAAGAAAATATTGATAATTTAGAAAGAAACGAAGATAAACCTACTTTTCAAAACCTTTCCAAGATTCATAACCTTTTGGTAGTTGACGTAAAAGATACACACAAATCCAAGGTGATCGATCAATTTATATTAAAATAATTTATTATTATTTATAAATTTTAAAATTATTTATTGACTTCGTTAATTATAGAAAGTGACTTTAATAAATGAAAATAATTTGGAAGAATTTTTGCTCAATTTGTGTGATTCCTGGATGGATACAAAGATTTTTAAGAGTTTGTACATATAAATATATATATATATTCTTTTTTTAAAAAAAAATTTGTATAATCATTGCTATTTGGTCATTTTTAACGTTATAATTACCCAATCAATACAGATGATACCGTTAGTATTTTTGGTGAATTTAAACATAGGACATGCACAGCGAACGATACGAACAATGTTATTATAATTGTCAACCCTGATATACTCGTATCATCTACCTGCGTTAGTGAAGCATACGGTTGTATGAGGAGGGCTATTTTAAAGGAGCGAATAAGTAGTGGCAATTTTAATACCGCATCTGCTATTCTTGGAACTCTTAGTCACGAGTACTTCCAAGATTGTTTAAAACATAATGATTTTTCATCATCTTATATGGATTTGACATTAAAACAAATTATGAAAAAAAATATCCCAAAATTATACTTTGCTAATTTAAAAGAATCAAAAGTTATTAAAGAATTATCGGAAAGAAAAACCATATACCATAATTTTGCTGAATGTTATATCGGTCAAGTGCCAAAATTTGGTTTGGGTAAGATCGAAAGCATTCGAGGCGATGAACATTCACTTGTTTGTATCAGTAAAACTTTGGATGTTGAGGAACGTATTTGGTCTCCAGCATTCGGTCTCAAAGGAGTTTTAGATGCTTCAATTGAGGTCAAAGTTTTAGAAAACAAGACTTTGAAAAAATATATTATGCCGTTAGAAATAAAAACTGCTTGGAAGGAGGATCATGCTCATAATTTACAAACAATATTATACTGCGTAATGATGAATGATCATTATAAAGTTGATGTCGGATCAGGCTTACTTTATTACGTAAAAAGCAGTAATGATCAAAAGGCAGGAAAATTAAAAAGAATTCATGTATCAGTTCAAGAATTGCGAGAAATACTAAAGACTCGTAACGAAATTGTATGGTATATCTCAAATCGACAACGGCATATTTTGCCACCAATGATTAAAGATTCTTATGTATGTGGTAAATGTAACATTAGGTCCACATGCTTTCTTTACAATAAGGCTTTCGAAAAAGGTACATCAGAAGAATCTGGCGTTGTTGAACTCTTTGATAATGCTACTGCACATCTTGAAGAAAATCACGTTGAATTCTTTCGAAAATGGGAAGAATTAATTAAGTTAGAAGAAGAAAATATGAACCAGATTCGACCACAAATATGGAATACATCACGTTCAAATAGTGATCCTACCCAAAGCCTTTATAACATGCATTTAGATTTGAATAGTATAATCGAATTTCCAGGGTCAACTGGATTATGTCAACTCAATTGCAAATTTTTTCAAATAGATTCTAAAGGAAGATCATTATTGGATACTCAATTCTGTATCAATGATTTTGTTGTTGTATCTTCTGAACAAGGACATTATGCTTTATCTACTGGCTTTGTGACTGAAATTACACCAGATTATATTTGTCTAACTTTGGATAAAAAACCTCGTGGAGGTCCGAAACACGCAACAGACTTTGATATAGAGTCTTGTCACAGTTTTTTAGGGTTACAAGATAGATCGAAAAAAGAAGAAATAATAAAAAATCCTTTAGGATTTGATTTGGCCACAACTTCTTATCGAATTGATCGTGATGAGCTGACTTCTAGTATAAAATTAGTACGACAAAATCTTGTCAGTCTTCTTATGGATGATTCAACTAGAAGGTTAAGACAACTAATTATTGATCTTGATGCACCACGATATAGTCGAACTTTTTCTACTCTAACAAATTATAATGATCTTAAAAAAGATTTGAATGAAGATCAGATTAATGCATTTGAATTGGCTTTGAAGGGTATGATTAAAATATATTAAATTAAAACTAATTAAAAAAATACATACAAATATTGACAACCATTATAAAAAATAAATCATATAGCCGAAGATTATGCATTAATTTTGGGGATGCCGGGAACTGGAAAAACCTTTACTATAGCCCAAATTATTAAAGCACTTTTACGTAGAGGTGAATCAGTGCTTCTTGCTTCTTATACTCATTCTGCCGTTGATAATGTCCTTTCAAAACTAAACGGTCACAGTAAAGAAATATTGAGAATCGGCGATAAAAGTAAAGTTCACAAAGATAATTGGCCATATATAATAGATAATAATAAATTTGAAAGTCTTGATGAATTCACCGAGTTCATTGAATCAAGAAGAGTAGTTGCAACTACATGCCTTGGGATGAATAAGTAAATTTAACAAATTTTATACATAAGGATTATCTAATTTTACTTAGTCTGTTTTTTTTTCTTCACATAGTCCGATATTTACTAAACGAAGGTTCGACTATTGTATCATCGATGAAGCAACACAAATAACATTACCTACTTGTATTGGACCACTTCGTTTTGCAGACCGATTCCTTCTAGTTGGTGACCATAATCAATTACAACCTTTAGTACTCAGAACAGAAGCTATTAAGAAAGGAATGGAAAAGAGTTTATTCAAAACCTTTACAGAAATTCATCCAAATGCAGTTGCAAATTTAAGATACCAATATAGAATGAATGAAGACATTATGAATTTATCCAATTCAATAATTTATGATAGTAAGATGCTTAACGGGTCAATGATTACGGCTCAAACACTTTTATACATTCCTAAATGGAACGAAGATTTTCTTTCCCAGTTTCATGACCCGGATTATTATTGCTGTCATGAAAGTTGTTGGCTAAAGGATGTAATTGATCCAAAAAGATCATTGATTATGATTAATACGGATAACCTTCTTACCAAAGAATATGCATTAAATGGAAAATATCAAAATGAAATGGAGGTTTTAATTGTTGAACATAGTGTCAAAGCATTATTAGCGGGAGGTGTAGCTGCTAAAGAAATTGGTATCATAACGCCATTTCGTTCTCAATTAAAACATATTGCACACAAATTTAAAGGTTATAATGAATTAGAAGTTTCGACAATTGATCGTTTTCAGGGAAGGGAAAAACAAGTTATAGTCTTATCATTTGTGAGATCGAATTCTGATCTGAAGGTAATGTAAAAAATGTAATGATTTTAAATAATAATTCCTTTAAAATTTTTTAAATTTTCATTTTTAATTCTTAATATTTGCAAGGTTGGAAACCTGCTTGAAGATTATCGACGGATAAATGTTGCAATAACTCGCGCTAAATTCAAATTGATCATTGTTGGTAGTAGATCTACATTGTGGGCATCGTCAACATTACGAAATATTATATATTATCTTGAAAAAAATGATATGGTAAATTTTTTTTCTTATGCCATTTTTTTAAATACAAAACCTACAAATAACGACTTCTTATCTAGATATATCAATTATCTAATAACGGATCTCCATATTGGCACGATGTTCCACTGTCCGTTGTATCAAGCGACATTAAAAAACTTGAAGGTTGTGCCGAGGCTACTAACGAAAATAACGAAAAAGAAAATGTTAAAACAAAAAGGTACAAGCCAATTAAATCGACAATATTTGTCGAAACAATTCTGAAGAGAAACACTGTCATAGGAGATATTGTTAATTAATATTTGACATATTCGCTTATTAATATTTATAACTTAATAAATAATTAATAAATGCAATAAAAAATTCAATATATTATGTACTATACAAAATTTGAATTTATTAAATTTATTAAGTTTTTGATGTTAAAAATAAATTTCTAAAATTTGCTCCCACAAAAACCGATGAAGTTTTTTTACTTACTTCTAATTAACATATGAACGTCGTTATGATGCTTTATTGCTATGTACAAATTATATATACATTGAATAGCTCTATTAAATATAATACTATTCATTGCACTCTCAATTGTCCAATATTATTCATTCTGTTATATTATCTTCTTCTCTTCTTTCTTTCTATCGGTTCTACTACACACTTCCGTTTTCTTGTCTCTATGTTATCTTCAGTATCTTCTACGAGGCTTATTGAATTTGCCTCAATATTTCCAAAAAATTTTGAGTTATCATCATCTTCCATAAAGTTACTTGAATCAACATCATCGACGCATTTTCTTAGATTGAAGACAATATCTTCAATGTCGTCATCAGAATCATCTTCAGATTCAACGGAACCATCTAGAGGGATTCCAAACCCTAATCCAATTCCTATTCGAACTGAATGTACATCGTTACCACTAACTAACTTTTTCAGCTCTGCATTAATTTCAGTGACAAAACTAGCACTTATACATGGAAGGTTAATGCGGAGATTTTCAGCTTCGTTTGCTAGTATTTCAATTCGTCTCACGTTTTCATTGATCTTAATACGTGCAGTTCTTGGTGCACGACACATAGCACAATACCAATGCTCATAATTTGGAGTATCTTCGGCTTTCATGTTAATACACTCACAATGATACCTAAATAAAAATATAAATATGAAATGATTAATAAAAAGATTATAAATAATAATTTAAATGAGGGCATATTTACCAAACATCGCATTTATCACAACAGATCATTTTCCCACCATAATCCTCTCCGCGGCAGAAGCAAAAATAATTCTTTCGATCATCACCGGCTCGATAAACACTTCTAAGTCTGCAATCCCAATGATAAAGAAAGTCGGTAATGTCAAATTCATTCAGTGGAACATCTTGATAGTCGTTCGGCCAGATATTTCTCGCTGTTTCATATGCAATGAGAGTTAAATTATTTTCCCAGTTCGCAGCATCATCAACTATACTTTCCATATCACCTAGAGGAAGACCGAACCTATATGTGCGGTTTATTTCGACAATGGGCGCAAGTTGTTCTAACGCTAAAGTATTTACTTTATTAACATGTTTGATGAGAGCTTTATAACGATCTTTACGTAATTGCATCAAATCCTTAACGCGTTGTGCCAAACTTTTTAAATGACGATCCGAATATCGAACTCTAAGAAAATAGCATGGACCTTCACAGCAACAGATAGCCATGTCAGTTACGCCAGTCACACAAGTTACGCATGCGCATTCTAAGCACAAAACCTTTTTTGTGCATTTAAATTGTAAGGCTGATAATCCAGTCCAGCTTCTACAAGTTATACATAGTGTTTCGTCGTCTTTCGGATCGGTCAAGTCATAGTTGGCTTCCGGAAGACGAAACCGTGAGGCAACCTCTTCGCGTCGCCAAAGCTCGTTCTGACAGACTTCAGTCAAGGATTCCTTCAATCTAATATAATTAATTAGAAAGAATTTTCCAATAATATCATACCTATCCATCAAATACATACCGGCTTAAAACCTTAAAGTTATTTATTTTCTTTAGACCGATATCCACCAGTAACTTTTCGTGAGAAAAGACTGGGTCTCGTCTGATTTTCTTATAATAATTCACGGATTTTTGTCCGAATTCTACCCAATCGGGTAATGCGAAATTAACAGCCTCATTGAAATTCAACTATTTTGAAATTGCAAAATTAATACAATGATCAATAAAACTTATTTATTAAATAATACGTTACTTACACCATGATTGAATCCGGCATGATAAGCTTGCGGAAATGTTATTACAAATTGATTTGGTCTTTGATCAATTGCAAAAACATCAATCCCCTCGCTTATGAGCGCCTTAGGATTCAAAATCGTTGTCAATTGGCTCAATAGATCTGGTTGATTCTGGAAGAGCTCCGGTAAGAGTCTTCCAGCCGCGGCCTCAAATTTCGCAGCACTTGCTGCTGGGACGCCGTACCACGTCTTCGTTTCGCCCCAATGCATATAATTGATGCTATATGTGTAATGATCTTCTACGTGCCAACAAAAAGCGCTAAACATCATGCCGACATATAGCCAGGGTATCATCATCCCCGGTATTGCTGGTCTGATGTGGCTCAAGAGAGATCCTGGAAGCTTCGGGAAGTTCCGTAAGTTCCAAGGATCTCTGCTATATGGATCTGAACTATGGGCCTTAGGACATGGAAATCCGCTTTATTTAAAGAAGCATGTTAATTATTATAAATTTTAGAGTTAGAACTAATCAACAAGCACACAACAATGATATTACCTTCCATAATCGATAGAACTATTATCTGCTCCATATAAGATTTCTGTATCATGGTCAGCAGACATTGCTAGTCTCCAGAATTCATTCTCAACGTGATCTTCTATATTAACCCCTTGCGGGACAGGACGCTTTTTGATGTACCTTTGTCTAAAATCATCAGCAATTTGTTGGAAGGCCTTTAACGTATACGTTTCACTGGGATCAAAACCAAATTTAGTTCCATATAAAAATAAACATTTCGGACAATGCCAACTAGCTTCGGGATGAATTTGGGAACGTTTGATTTTGAGGCATTTCGCGTGAAACGCCTTTTGACAATCCCCTTCGCATATTAATGGATCACTCCTAATAATGTTCCCACATTCCCCACAGACTTCTTCATCAATATCCATATTATCAGAATCAGGATCAGAATCGGTTTGTAAATTAATTGATCGGCCTTCCCTACATTCTGCCTTAACATCTGCGATATATGTTTCATAAGGCTCAACTATTTCCTGATACTTCTCTTTGATAGTCTTGGAAAGCGAAGTGCATTTTGCCGAATACCCATCTGGCCTAATTGCTCTTGCAACTTCAGCCCACTGTTTTTTGTTTGAAATCTAATTAATATAAAGAGAATAATGATAGCGAACTTCAATATAATTATATCGATATTAAACCTAAAGATAATGTAATAAACAAAATAAGTTGTTATACTTCTTCAGGACCGCCTTTTTCTTCGACAACTTTAGCAAGAAGATGTAGATCAATAGGAGTTCTGTCTACTAATGGCGGTTTTACAAAGTTCTTCTTCCCTTGCTGAGCATGAAACATCTGTAATTGTTGCAAGTAATTTAACTTGACTCGAGTTTGTCCTTCCATTGTATTAACTGTTTGCTTCCTGGTACTAAACTTAAATTCCTATATACAATGAAAATTTTATAAATAAATCATTAATTCATTATGGCATTAAAAAAAAAAAGTTAAGATTAAAAAACTTACTTCCGTATTTAGCACGAAGGGAGGTCTCCATCCTTCGGGGGGAACTATTTTGATGATACCATAACAATGACCTATATGTGCGATGCTTTCAATATATGCATAAGGATCCTTAAACTCTTCAGGAGTTGGATATAGAACAGGAGCTTCAAGAATATCCGTTTTTCGCGACTCTTTAGACGGGTCTTTGTATTGATATTCAGTTCGAACCGTAGTAAAGTCAAACGGTTCGTTGATAATAGGCTCAACCTCTTTCAATCTAATCGTCTCTTTTTCCACAGAATCCGGTACCAACCCGGAATTTTTACCGGATTCTACAGAAGGTTTTGCAACCGCAGTCGATTTTGCAGAACTAGTTGACATACGTGACCCTTGCATCCGCGAAAGTACTATTGAGCTAGTTGTTGAAGTTGACTTTGAATCCTGTGAAATGGTTTGCACACAAGACCCTTGCATGCGTGTTTGTCCTGGACTCGTTAATGAAGTGGGCTTTGAAACTTGTGAAATGGTTTGTACACGAGAACATTGCATGCGTGTTTGTCCTGTTGAGCTTGTTGATGAAGCCTGTGAAACAATTTGCATGCGAGACTCATGCATTCGCGAATTTGTTGTTGAGTTCACTGTTTTAAAACTAGAAGGTTGTAAATTGGGTTGCATGCGAGGTTCCTGTTTTCGTGAATGTAAAGTTGAATTCGTTAAAGTGAAATTAGAAGCCTGCGAATTATTTTCCATGTAATGCCCTTGCTTTTGTGAATGTGAAGTTGAGCTCGTTAAAGTGAATTTTAATTCTTGCGAGTTTAAATTAATACAAGTCTTTCGTGACTGAGTGTTTGCTTTCTGCACTTTTGTAAAAGAGGAAATAATATTTTTGTTCGTTGGTTGTGGTTTACTACCCGCTCTTGTTTTAACCATTTTGAATGAATGTTTAAGTCGCTTTTTTAAGAGTGTTAGGAATAACGAAAATTCTTGAATTTTACAACCACTTTGGGTAGAAGAATGAAGAAAAATTTGACGAGAGACAAAAACTTTTTTACTACTTCGAAGGAAGATGTGAGATAAACGTACGATAAAATTTCAACCAACTACTTTCTCGAAATTCTTTCATTGAATCACACGCCAAGCCACAATCATCCGATCCTCTTCCATTTTTATAATAGTTGGTACCTTTATATTCTAAGAAGCGTTACACAATTATAAGTAAAGAGCAAAAAATAATATAATGGTTTTTTTTTTGATATTCGCGAATATTCCTTTGATTTGCCGCAGCACTAAATCATATGCTAATATCTTTTTCTCAGCTTTTGCATTCGTTTTGTCTTTTAATAAAATGGACGATGTATTGTTCTATGGTTTATTTGGTAATTGAAATATAATTGTCAAAGAAATCTCTAAATTGTTACGTCATAAAATTATTATCACTCGCAGGATTTTTGGGGGTTCAGCTTCAAATTGGCATTTGCAATGTGCACAATACTATTTTAAAAACCGGTTTTTTAATGCACAAGTAAAATTTTTGCAGATTTGAACTTAAATGTAACTTGATTTATTTTGGTTAAATTAACTGACTGTACATATATGGATATATAAACCAGTATACTTATATTAAGGTAAAAAAAACGTAGGACAAAAAATTCATTATATTTGAAAAGTCGAATAAAATTTAATTTTAAATAATAAGCATACTGTTAAAGCTTACTGTTATAAAAGATATTTCAAAGAATTTTTTTAAGTTCTTTAATTTAATCAAAAATATTTATTCATTTAAACAATTTTCTAAAATATACTAATAACTTTTCATTGAAATTGGACCTATCTTTCAGTAATTTATCTATATAATTGGAAGCTTTATTAAAATTGGAATTGATATTGGAATTGGAAAAATTGGATTACTAAATCTTAAAGTAATTACAAAAAATTAAGTATCAATTTTAAATTTCAAAAAACTGCTTATTTCAAGAATATTTTTCAAAAATCTTAAACTTTATACCCTATTTATAGCTAATTAATAATAATCTAATTTAATAAAAAAAATCTAATGATAATAATTTTATTTTTCTACTTTTAAAATTTACTAAAATATCATATAAAGTAATTTTTATTTGTTATAAATAAAAGATATTCAAAATAATGATAGGAAATTCTGGTTTTCAATGAAAATTTCACTTGAAAACTGAAATTTGGAATATTGGAATTTTTATTATAAATTGATTCCAATGGTCTCTAAAATCTGAAAATTTAATTTCAGTACTTTAAAAACTACTGTTCAGATTCCAGATACTAGAAATTACTAATACTAATTTAAAATTCTATTTTAATATAAATCAATTATAAGTTATATATTAAATATTTAAATTCTAATTTTATTTTATTATTACAAAATTCTAAACATTTAATATATAAGTCATAACTTATAATAAACTTTAACATTTTTACTAAAACTCAAAAATTAGTTTTTTACTTATATCATAATATCTAATAATCTAATTTTAATAAACTTTTTTAAATTGTAAAACTTAATAAAAAACTACAAAATAAAAAATAGTTTATTAAAATTGGATTATTAAATACTAAAATATATATATAAAATAATTTTTTTAAATTAATTTAAAAATGGGTTAATTTGCTAAAATTGTGATTTTTTTATTTTATTTTAAAAAATATTTAGGGTTCTATTATTACTATTATTTAAATATAATTCAATTTTATAAAATTATAAAAAAAGGAAATATTAAAAACATTTTCTAAAAGAATTAAAAAAATTTGTTTAAAAAGTTTTAAAGTAGTATATACTTCAAAAATTTACCATTTCAAGTTCTAAAGAAGTATGCCAAAAGACCTATATAAAAAATAAAGGATTGTTAAAACATTTCTTATAAAAGTAAAAAAAAAATTCTTTAAATTTTTAAAGTAAAACATTTCAAAATCATCATTTCCTTTATTTCTTAAAGTCAAAACATTGAAAATTTTACAAAAAAGAAAGAAATGTTAGAAATATTTTCTAAAAGAAATTAAAAAAATAATAAGTTTTACTTCAAATATCAGTAAGTTTTAAACAGATATATAAAATATTAAAAAATGCTATGTGTTACTTAATGCTAAAAAGTGTAGAAATACAAATCTTTTGCCAATTAATACCACTTAAAAACATTTAAAAACATGTAAAACAACATCTATTTAAATATAAAGTTATATATAGTAAAATAACAATAGTTTTTTTTTTTTTTTTTTTTTAAAA